TCGCAATGTACCGGTTGTGACGGGATCCGGAACTCACCACTGCATTGGAGATAGAGGTGGGCCTATAGAGCAGTGAGTGCCCCAACTGGTATGCGCAGGCACAGGCGCACACTGGAGCATCAGAGCGCCGGAAACCCAAAGACCAGCTGGCTGGTGCGCATGTGCACACCGGAAACCAGAAGAGCAGCTGCGATGGTGCACGTGCCCACAAAGAGGGCTCTGCTTGCCACCTCTGGCACCTGTGCCATAGGCTCGCCACCATGGCTATAGAGAGTGATAGGTCAGATCAAAACTAGAGAACTAAGTAAGATGTGGAATCTGAGTGAGCAAGAACCAAGGCTATAGGGCAGTGATGGCTAACCTTTCTGCCATCACGTGCCAAAAGCAGGGGGAGCATGGGGGAGTGTCGTATGCGTGTGTACTCTCCCCCCATGCATGCGCATGCAACCCACCTGCCCTCCCTCCCGCTTTTGGCACGTGATGGCATGGTGGACCCGTTTTTCGCCCTCCCCAGACTCCAGAGGTTTTCTCCCCTGCTCCCCCCCCCCTTGCAGGCCCTCCAGAGGCCGGAAACGACCCGTTTATAGTATAGTGGGACCTCACCACCCAGGAAGAACTCAGCCAATACAGAAAACTCTGCTTACTATCTTTTTCTGTCCTTTAGGACCCAGTGGCTCACTGAGAGACCTGGGTCAGGCCAGGGCATGAATACATTTTACTGAGAATATTTTGCAGGGTAGCATTAAAGGATTATTTGCCAGTGGAGGAGGTTGGCATGCAATGTTATGGCACAAAATTGTATCTTTAATCTTCTGCTGCAGAACAAATTGTTGATGGGAGAGAGAAACTATAAATAGTCCTTGTTTAGTAACTGCCTCATTTAGTGTCCATTTGCAATTACAATGGTGATGAGAAATATAGAATAACAGAATTAGTAGGGACCAATCTCCTACTCCAGCAGGAGACCTTATGCCGGTGATGGCTAACCTTTCCGAGACCAAGTGCCCAAAACGCAAGTGCAAACCCCAAAATACAATGCGCCCCTCCATGCATGCTCCCTGCCTCCACGCATGTGTGCGCCCCCACATGTGCCCCCCGCACATTCTCCCCGCATGCGCACCAGATGAATGGCTGTCCAATCTCTTTTTAAAATCCTCCAATGACTCACAACTTCTGGAGGTAATCTGTTCCACTGGCTAAAGACCACATCTTTTGTCCATGTCTTCCTGAAATCCCCAAGGCATCTTCCTGCCATGGTCAGCAGACTATGCGGAAGAAGTCCTGAGAAACCTCTATCTGCATTTCAGTGATGGGGCAGCTGCATTCAAACACCTGAAACAGAACTTGGGGCAGCCCTTGAAGAGCATTCGGCGACTTCAGCTTGTCCAGAATGCAGCCGCGCGAGCGATTGTGGGTGC